ATATGTGTCAGCATAAACTACGTGTACCTGATGATGATAAAACGTTGTACATTTGCAGTTATGTTAAACTTACATTAAAGTTTTGGTTCATTACCCATTCAATCTGTCTCAAAGTTGGTTCTTCGTCATCGAATTTGAAGATACTTATTTGCACGAGTAAATATGTTAAGTACAAAAGTTTTGTCTTCCTGTAGCTTCTTGGTTGTGATAATTGTTACTTCATTATATCAAAATACAAATTAAAATGGTAAAACAATTAAAGCAGTTTAATTTAGATGAATATATAAATATTTGTTTTAAATAAGGCTGACTCCTTTGGTGTAATAAGATCTATATTTAGTTAGATCATAAATAAAATTTTTAATGCCGGGGCACTTGACTCGAAATTTGTGGGTTTGAATCCCACCACCAATCATTTTCATTCTTTCAACTGTGGGAAATTAGAATGTGATAGTCTCTCCCACTTTTTGTTGGTGAAGAGTATCCAAAAGTTTGCATGAAATTCAACAAACAATGTCATGTGACGTGCTCCATCTGCTATCATGGCAACAAACTTTTTTTTAATCATGATTGAGCAAATGTTATCTGACCAGAACAATGTGCTCTCTTTTTATGCAATTTCCATTACTAATCTTTGTAAACTATCACATGAAAAGGCAATTTGCAGTTATGTATATTAAATACAAATTCCCTTTTCCTTAGTACAACAGGAAAAGGGGTTTAAAGGTTTTTTTTCCTCTGGAATTTAAAACATTGCTGACAATAAATCTACTGGAAGTAAGGAACACAAACATACAGCCACTAAAAATAGGCTAAACACTAAATTGGTTACTTGTTAAGATTAGGAGATCTAAGGCAAGTTGTCCAGTATTGTGCTTCTTTGAGCTTAATCTTTTGATCAAAATATAAACATCACTAACAAACATGTTTCTATCGATACAAAGCAGAAGGTTATTGTCACATGAGAAACAGCAGCAGCAGCAGTAAACCGTTGGTGATAAGTTAACAATAAGGAGTAAAAACATCTGTTCTTTAAAACGTAAGAATGATATTCAGTTATTTTATGCATATGTAATCTCATGGGTTTTTGTTTTTTAACGAACGAAAGAATGTACAATTTTTGAAGTTCAGGGAAATATTCTGGAATAAAATAAACATGATTAGACCTCAAATTATTCGTTTTTATTCACATGCTAATCTCACTATGGTTGGCATGTTGTTTACAGTATTGATAAGAGTACAAAAATACTGATAGTAATTATGAACTTCATTATGTAGTGTTGAATAGTTTGAGTTGTGCCAATTTTGTGAAAAATAATTGCTGTTCTGAAACAAGTTTGACTCCTCTGACACCATCTTCGGTTGGCGTATAATATATTAAAATGTATGTATGGAGTGACCTGTTGCCCTTTGCAGTTGTCATATTTGGTTTGGGTTAGGTTATATCAACCAAAACGTGTTATTGCAGAAATTATTTAGAGAAAACTACTTGTTGTTAGCTGTGCGAATTTTTAAGATTACTACACATAGCTCTAGTTTATGAGATAGTTTTGGACAGCAGCTGTCTGTCTGTCCCGGAAACAGCTGAGAGTTTTGAAAGTTGTGGTGTGTGTGTGTGTGTAGCAGCTGTTTGCTAAAAGCACGTGCCACGAAGACACAATTCCGATGCAGCGGTTGCCGTTTGTTCTCCTGTAACCGACGCTTTCCTGCAGGGCTTGGGAACTTTTCAGGTGCTGGCACGAGCGAGATAGTAGTTACACTCCAGCTGCAACGTCCTACGTATATTTGTCGTTGGAACACTGTTGAATCGACAGCTGGAAACGGTGACATATGGATTTTCCTTGGTGTCTGTGTAATACTTTTACGTTGTGCGTTTTAATTTACTTTGGTCACTTAGATATAGAACTATCAAATCAGAAAACCTGTTGGTCTCATTCATTCTCCTGATTGTGTTAGTTGGTGATATTGTTACGTTTATAGCAGTTTTTATAAATGCATTTCATTTCTTTTGTTAATATCTATTCATCATTGTAACAAGTATAAAGGTTAATGATAATAGTGGTCAGACGCCTTACGACATAGAGGTAGGAAACTTGTTAGTTTTTACATTACTATTTGTAATCTTGAACAGTAACGTATTTCTTCTCCCTTTTTAAGAAAGCTGCATCGAATAAAATAGAAATAAATGTGATATATTCAGTATTTGGGAAGATACGTGAAAGATCATTGTGATATAATTTTCATAGTCTCCTCCGACATCCGAGCTAATAAAGTCTATCGTAATCGCATTTTTGTTTTACTTAAAAAAATATATTTTCAACTTTGTTTTTCTAGTTTCCAACTTTTGTTGATGTCATGTACTCCGTAGTATCGCACAAAAATACACATAAAAAAGGGGGATTTTTTAAATCTTAAATGCGTATTCGTTTGCAGACACTAGTTTCGAACTTTTCTCTTGTTGACGTTGTTTACTTCACAGTACCCTCCCATGAAAAAAATAAGGAAGCTTTTCACATCTAATCCAGTTTTAAAAGTGACGTATAACAAGTGTTTCTTTTTTATATTGTCGGTCAAACAGCTGTTCCTAGCCGAGTGTGACACAGCTGCCTCTGAACGTCCGGTCTGGTCTGTTTGTAAACCGTAACTGTTATTTGTAAACTGCTCCTTTGCTGACTGCCTCACTTATCCTTGAAAAAGAGAGCTCTGGTCGAGTAATCCGATTTCAGCAAGCACCTGGTATTATGTTAATTATATTGACATAACAAATACCTATAGGAGCATTTTTTCTATTCATATAATAGCTGTAATTTAATTAAAACATTTAACCTAACATGAAACATGTATGTATATTTGTTCGTACTTTTGCAACATAGACTAACAATTTGTGTTTGTATTATTGTTTAGGCTACGAGTCGCGTATCAATTGTAAGATTGGTCATTTGGTTTCCTGCCTGTTTCAAATCATAAAAGTAAAAATGTCTTAGTACTCACGTATTGAGCTAGTGTTACGATTTGCGTGCAATTATCATTATTAACGTTAGTCACGATAGGAAATAAAAACCCATTAGCGTTTAGCGATAAATACCTAACCGAAATATAAGACTATGGTTTGAATAAGTAGAATAGGATTATCGTCATGATAACAAGTAAAATTATTTCTTTAGAGTAGAAATTACAGTTTAAAATTTTTATGACAACCAATTACGCTAAAAAACGAGCGTTATTACCAGTAATAAAGGATCATTAAGTATGTTTTTAGCTACAAGTTATTGTTGTCTAATCCAGTTATTAATTATTCAGAATTTCGTCTATGTAGCCCAGTTCATTTTTGGCAGTGTGAATGGCCATAAAGGACAAATACTATGTGTGTGAAAATTCATTGCTTAATTTTAAAGTTCTGTGTTTGTTGTGCTTATTAGTTATTTGGAAGCATTCGTGTCCCCAAAATGTAACGTTGATATGTTTAATTTCAATGGTATTTTGTCCGATTCTCTTTTTTCGGTTAAACCGTTGAAGATGCAGCTGCTGGCGTTGTGCGTTTTCTTTTGTGAAGTCATCCACAGAATCGTAGTTTGTGTATAAAGACGTACAATGACCCGTTTAGCCTTACCTTTAGCACAAGAAACGGCACGTGCCAGATGCCAGCTTTGCTGGTAGTAGCTTTTTTCTTTACTACTGGCACGTGTCGGAATAAGAATAGACAAAGGTGACAGCAGGCAGACAGCACCTAAAGGGGAAGTTCAAACGTCCGATGGCGCGTGTCAGTAAGTTGTGAGTGGTATGAATTGGGCTCTAGAATTTGTATTCTGTTGAGTAATTAAAAAAATAAGAACAAATGTTTCATGAAACTAGTATGAAAATATTCTGCAATTGTATGTACTAGACAAAAATCTTTTTATATTTTTTCCAGAAGTATGTTCAACAAGAGTTTAGATGAACTGTTCGAGGAAGACTGTGATGATGAAGAAGAAGATATTTTACCACCAAAGGTTTAACCTTTGTCCATATTAATCTTATTGAAGTTTAACTCATTACGATAGATGCATTATTGAAAATATCGTAACAAATATACATATTTATCCTATTTTTGACATTGCAGCTATTGTATTAGATTATGCTAGAATCAGTTATGTCAGAATGCTACTTTTAAATAATCAAATTACAAACCATCAGTAAGATAACCTAAATCTGGTTTATTGTAATATGATAAATATTTTGATTAACTCTGCATTGAACATGTATTCACAGTATTTTCAGTATTCATAAGGAATATTAACTTAACAGTATTCTATCAAATTACATACATTTAGATTTCTTGTTCTATTCGAAATTACTTCATATGCAAGACAGATTTATTAAACATGCAATGTGAAGTCCGAAAGTTAATTTTGAAGTGTACTTAACTTTACAATGATATATTTATACTCCTAAGCTAATTTATTTGCTATTAGTTGAGCAATAATTCTGCTCAAGAAATGCAGACATTGATTATTTTGAGGTTTCTATAAGTTTGCATGTGTTGTGATTTAATTGTATGTGTAGACTATTTGTTTAATGCGTTCTCAGTGGTTTGAAAAAATTATATGTAAACTACCTCTTTATGAGCTGACTGGTAATATTTGTAAAGAACAATGATTGGTTGTTTAAGATTTTGAACTCTCTTTAAGCAAGGATTTGTTTACTTTAAAAAGAGTATTGCCCCGAACAAATGGTTCTACCATGTTAAATATTGAGGTTCTATGTAGGCAGGGAAATAAATGTAAAAAGTGCTTATTTTATGGCAGTAAAAACATTGTTGAAACATTTAAGTAGTTATACAAGGATTAAAAACATGTCTTAGAATACCAGAAAACTGAAACTCTATAATTTTATTTTTGATGACTCCAAATAATGGAGAAACTGCATCATTCTAGATCCACAAAACTTATTATTAAAAAACAACTCTAAATAAATTAATTATAGAATAAAACCCTAGAGAAAAGGAATTTTGTATCATAGCACTTCAAAAAATTGGGGCATATAAAAATTGTTGCTTTTGCCTAGACTGATAATAACTGAGAACAAAACAAGGGGTCATATTGAAGGTTTTAATATAGTCAACAGTTAGATTTGAGTGTAATAGTATTATAAAAATAATGCTTTAGAGTAATTTTACTCTTCTTTATAGTTTTTAATTATATTAATAAACAAAAGGAATATTTATTTGCAATTATTACTTAAACATATTTTAAAATACATTTTCACAAGTTTCATAACTAAAACATCTATAATTATAATGAAATTGAAAATCAGAATTCCCAGCAGAGTTCAACAAAAATCTAAAAAAAGTAGTCAGAACAGAGAGAATTTAAATAATGCTACATGTGTAATGTAGCAAGTATGGGTTAGGAATAAGGTGGCATTCGAAATAAATCAGATAGTTTTAAACCCTACATTACTTTTTTATGTCAGTCTGTCTGTACATTTATAGAAATTTGATTGTAATGTACATTTCCGTAATTTTTTTTAGAGAATTAACCTTTCGGATACAAGCATATCCCGTTACAATGAAGAATTCCTAGAGCTCTGCCAGATTGGATCTGGAGAGTTTGGTAGTGTTTACAAATGTGTTAATCGTTTAGACGGATGTGAATATGCTATTAAGAAGTCAAGAAATCCCATTAAAGGTTCTTTTGATGAGTAAGTATAAACTTTTTTATGATAAATATTAAAACTAAGTAATCTAGGAGTAATTTTAATTGAGTAACAGTAATGTTAATGTGGAAACCTAACTTTGAAATATTTGTTTGTTTTCTAAATTTCTGAGGTTCCCTAACTTTTAAATATGTAAAAAAAATATTTATAATCTCCATTACATAATAACTTGAATTGTTGTATATTTTGTAGATGGAATTTTACAATATTACTATTATGTAATGTACATGATTTATACGATTGTGTAGCTTTTTGGTAATTAGTGTAAATTTTTTTTTTCAAACAATATCATATGAACAAAGAGTAACACCTTTTGGTACCTTAAATAATTTTCTGCAGGATAAATTAAGAGTTTTGTTTTTTGGATTATTAATATTATCCTGAACCTAATCAAAGAACTATAAAAATACCAGTTGTTTTAGGCATGATATTCCAGAACTATAGATGTTTGGAAAACATTAGCTTAGATAGCTGCTCTATCTTTGTTTTGATAGAAACCTGTTGAATACTTTTTTGATTGTTAGTGTCAGTAATAAATTATTTGTATTTGGTGAGTATAATCATAATCACCACTTCTTCTATTTAGTGCATATGAAATGTTTTTTGCAACTTTGAATCTCTCGTGTAGATTCACTGAACTTAGCAGTAAAGATTCATTACAAAGCATGCTTCAGCTACCAAAACTTAAAAACTTGTGGTGATTGCAATTTCAACATTTTTGTGTCAAGGTTTATGTAAAAAAGTTTACTGTTAATTTTATTGATTGGTTCCGAAGATTTATTATCCATATTTAAAAGTACTTTTTAAGTATTATCTTCAAATAGTTTACATCAAGTTGGTTTTTGTTCAAGTTTGTATAATAAGGTTAGTCGTTCATTACATGTTTTTTTTTCCTTCAGAAAAACAGCTTTAAATGAGGTTTATGCTCATGCTGTATTGGGTAAACACCCGCACGTAGTGCGTTACTACTCAGCTTGGGCAGAAAACAGACATATGGTCATACAAAATGAATACTGCAATGGTAAATTATATATACTTATTTTGTTTTATAAGTCTTTTGCTTTTTCTCATTTGATTATACATAATAGTTTGCTATCTTTATTCTTGTTCTTTAAAATGGAGATTTGCTCACACATTGTTTATGTGTACTTGTAAAAGGGAAGGTAACATAGAAGTATAATTTGAACTTTGTGTTATATTGTTAACATATTTGATGACTTGTTCAGGTGTTATCATTATTAAAAGTGGATTATAACTGTTGTGGACATAAGATTGGAATATTTACACAAAAACAAAGGTTTCTAAATGTATATAGGTATAGTAATATGTCATAATATACATAGTTTTGATATTGAAATCTATTTATGTGGTTGTGTGTGTGTATATATTATTTGTTAAACACCAGATGCTGAATTGTACTGTGAGAATAACGTGTGTTAAAGCTACAATTCGTTGGTGAAAGTAATTAAACAAACAGGACGATATATCATAGTATACAAGAATCAACAATTTTGAACCCGATTCTTAAAAACATTGTAATTATACAAATGAAGAAACAAGATCCTGTGAGCTTTCAGTTCAGTCATAAAATATTGATCATTTGATATATCAAAAGTTACACAGTTTATAGAATGTTATTATAATGACTACACTGTAAAAGATTGTGCCATTGATATCTGATTATTGTAGGTGGTAGCTTAGCTAGTGCTATAATAGAGAACAGGAAGTCGGGACGACACTTTAGTGGGGAGGAACTCAAACAGATTTTACTCCAAGTTGCTGAAGGATTGAAGTACATACATTCTCAGAACCTTGTTCACATGGATATAAAGCCAGGTAATATGGATAGTTTATGTACAAATATTTATGTTAGTTATTAATAAGCCAAATATATCTAGAATTATAGGTGTGTGGTATTTAATATTTCATACAAGCTCAAAAAACCGTGATCATGCCTTTGTAATCTGAAAACATTTAGCAATATTTTTTTATTTTCATTCTTAGTTTTGGTATATCAGTTAACTCTTTAAAACCATACAAGAATGTGTGTAGATAAATCATCCCTGCATGACTAATAATTTTGTACAAAGTTAAACTGCTGACTAATGAAAAGTACAAAAACTGGTTAATTGATGAAATGATGCAGAAAATAAACTATGTTGATTATTGAAAAATGTAGTACAACAAATATGCAGTGGTGAAGTGAATGACAAAATGAATTGTTATTTAGTAATAAAGATTTAACACACACATACATAAAAGTATAAATATGGTGTATAAGTATTAATTTTTAGATTGTCACTGCATTTCACCTGAATTATATATTGAAATTAAGATGTAAAAAAATGGTGATTTATATAATAGATTGGTTCCATGATGTAACAAATCATATAAAAGTTTTGAAACCCATGGATTAATTTGATTTACCATTTTTGTAGAACAACCTAACCTTTTAAATTTCAAATACTAAGGGGTTCATTTGTCTAACATCATTATTTATGGTTTGTAATAGGTAATATATTCATTTCAAGAAACATGAAATCGGTATCTGCAACGTCCCGTGTAGGAGAATCATCTGATGATGGTTTTGAGGATGATGAGAATGATGAAGAGGAGATCACATATAAAATAGGTAAACTAGAAGATTTTTTTATCCGTAAAGGTGTCTTGGGAATTTGGACAGTAGCTAAAACTTATTTTAATAAGTTGGTGTAAATTATAATAAAAATAATTAAATGGATTTTTCTTGAAAACCTCCTTTGGCCAATTTTGTAGAAAAGCTATTTATATTTTTAAAGGAATATTACTTGTATATTTACTTTAGCAAATGTAAGTTTATCAAAAACTATAAGTTAAAAATGTCAAACTTTTTTGGGAATCATTTTGAGAATATAAAAGTATTTGGTATACATGTTTTGGTACTCCTGTTGAAGTTATTGTGGAAAGGAAAAACAGATTAAAAGCCATTAAACACCTGTAATTATTCGTCAAAATCAAATTACAATCAAACATTTTTTTCTTATTAAGTATGAATATAAATCAAACATTCATTTTTATTAATCTCTCTGCTCTTGGGGCCTGGCATGGCCAGGTGGTTAGGGCACTCAATTTGCAATCTGCAGGTCGCGGGTTCGAATCCCCGTCACACCAAACATGCTCACCCTTTCATCCGTGGTGGTGTTATAATGTGACGGTTAATCCCACTATTCATTGGTAAAAGAGTTGGCAGTGGGTGGTGATGACTAGCTGCCTTCCCTCTAGTCTTGCACTGCTAAATTAGGGACGGCTAGCACAGATAGCCCTCGTGTAGCTTTGCGTGAAATCCATAACATAACTCTCCTCTTGGAACTGGAGTTGCAGATTTTTCTGGGTGATAACATGATATCTTACAAAACTAAAAATAGAAGATTATCCTGCTCTCTAATGTGTTTGGAATGTCATGTTTTGGTGTGAACCTTTGAAAATAATAAAATAATGTGTTAGTCTTAACATACATGACAAAATACTCAAATTATTGAATGTTTTTCCACCAAACAGGTGACCTAGGACATGTGACTTCTGTTACCAATCCCCAAGTTGAAGAAGGGGATTGTCGGTACTTACCATTAGAAATCTTGCACGAAGATTACACTTTTCTGCCAAAAGCAGACACTTTTGCTCTGGGTCTCACAGTCTTTGAAACGGTAAGTAATTTGAAAAAATGATTATGAAAATATCAAGATACGTTAGATCTGTAAGTGCTAATGCAAGTAGTGCTGAGTAAATTATTACCCATGAGGTTTGATTCGTTTTTCAGTTTAAATGTAAACAGTCTTAATGACACAGAAATATTAACATTATCGTACGAAATGTTCAGGAGTAAAAAATAATTTGTTGGGAAGAAAAAAGTTTAATTATTTGGATAAAATAAATTGTAATTAGTAAAGTGTATATTTTCAAAAGTTACAGAAACAAATTCTATTTAATAGTTACGGTCACATTAAAATGTTTTTGTTTAGAATTCTTTGTGAAATTAGTCATTAGACAAAATTAAGGAATACTATAACACTTCAAAGTACTTTAGATGCCTCACTTGGATTTTACAGTATTTTATGGATATAGTTGTTTTGTATTGTTGATGTCATCAGGTGTAATTTACACACAAGTTTATTTATTTATTTATTAAAGGGTGGTGGTGGTCCTTTGCCAAAGAACGGAGAGTTTTGGCATTCAATCCGTGAAGGTTATTTGCCTGCACTTCATCAGTGTTCTTCTGATTTTAATAAATTATTAACAGTAAGTAAGACTTTTTGGTATAAATACCTCTGTGTAATGCATTATTTTTATATTTTAACTTTTTAAAATGAATGCTTCTTTAAGAACAGTTGAGTTAAAGAACTAAAATTAGCATCAGAGTGTAGTTTATAATTTGTGTGTTATGTTTTAAAATGCATATTTGAAAGATACATTTTTCTGTCAAAAAAAAATAGGCTTAAGTAGCTACGAGAGCGCAAGTGCAAAGCTGCAAGTTTGTGTATGGAAATCTTCTAATGTGTCATTCTTCAAGCATGAAAAAACAACATTGTACAAGCCAGGTAGTGAAAATAATGAAATTGCGGATATGTTGACAAATAATTCATTCAAAGATGATGAAAAATGGTATTTTTCATTTTATTTCATAATTTCAAAAATTTCGTATCACTCTACGTTGAATATTTAGATATAGGTGGTTCTAGAGGTTAAGCAAATGAAATTGGAAAGCTGTAAGATGAAAATAAGTATTTTTATTCTAAGCATGAGGATCATCTTACACTCAGATTGACTCAGTAAAGGCTTTGTAAGTTAATATACATTTTTATTATAAATAATTTATTAAATATTCCTGATTTCCTGTGTAAAACAGCCTTGTAACGTTTACTAAAAACATGCCAAATTTTATAAAGAAACGCTTAGTAAATTCAGAGTACTAGTACATAAAATTATAGACCCTGGAGGGTAAAAATTTCATGAATAAAAAAATAATTGTGAATGATTATTTAGCAAATTTTACTTGTTAATTCTACATGCTGGTGGGATATGCAGTGAGGATCAAATGCATTATATTAAAATGATTCTAGAGCCATACTATGTCCTAAGAGTCCATGTTGCCATGTCTGATCGTGCTCCGTCTTGACAATTACTCTGCAGCGGGCTTCATCATAAGGCTGCCATGTCCAAAGCACACCATTCTCTACTTGCATACTTTCCATGATACATGTATGTATAAGGACAACAGTTTCCTAGTGCTGTATCCAGTGATTTGACCAATGTGAATACCTGTTTCATTTTCCAGTTTCTTGAAGTATGCAATGGTTGAGCCTTATCTTGGTGAATATACCACCTGTTGGCCTCATTTTCAAATTGATTATGTTGTGTACTATTGCCTGTGGTAAGTGGATGGATTTGATCACTGATTTTGGTGTTCATGGATTCTCACTTGTTAATAGATCCCAAACCTTTTACCATATCTGAGATGCAACTTGTTGCAAATCTCTTTCTAGGGGGTTCTAGTCCCCTAAGTTTAACCATATTCTTTTGTTTTATAAGGTAATCAAATATAAGGCATGTCCCCACCACGGAAATTCTAAGTCCCCAATCTGATCATATCTTTACGACCCGAGTGTATGAATATCTTGTGCCGGAAAAGGTTGTTACATATTCTTTCCAAAAGCTTTGGTTGCATTCAACAACCTGTAAATGTCAAACAATTTCAAAATGTAGTCTTCATACATCTCATTCTACCACAACTTTATCTTGATTGTATTTATCACACGACTTTCTAATTTGCATATTCAAAATCATTGTGGTAGTAGTATAGTGGCAGTAGTAAATATAATATAGGTGAAATAGGGCAGCTCATGTTACTTGCTCTAATTGCATTTCTCGCATGCGTGCCTCGTAAACCATTTTAATTACATTATTATTAATACTTATTTTACCTAATCTAGTCTTAAATAACTTAGAGATCCATACTTTTAGATTTTAGGTACTTTTATAATAATAAATAAAGATTAAATATGAAAAACAAGAAATAAAGTACTTAACCAATCTTCTTTTTTTTGCTCTCAGGTTATCAAAGAGAGTTAACCCTAATTTTTTATACTGTAGATAGTAATGCACTTAAAAATTTTTATTTAATTAAATA